AAATTTCCTCACACCCTTTTTTAGGTCTTTTATCTGTCAATCAGATGCAATAAAAAGGAAGTGAATATTTAACAACGCGGAAGGGCTGGAGCTTCAGCAGTAAACTCGATACCTCTGAGTTCGAGAACAAAAAACTTAAGCACCTTTTGAAATTCGATGAAATAAAATCTTTTATAAGGTAATTTAGTCTTTTAGCTTTAATTTGATATGTAACTTGCATTTGTAGCGAAAATACTCGCGCGACTAGAATTTTTTTCTGTGGGCACCTCGTTTTCCTTTACCGAGACCTTAAGTCATTACAAAGTGCCGCAAGTCCGAACATGAACTATACGCATGTACATGTTTTCAGTATTAATATTACTATTATATTGTAGAATCTCAGACTTAAAAGGTCCTCATTGCCTGGTAAATTAAATTAACCCTATTATAGATTATTATTATAATTATTATTGTTATCATCATCATCATGTTAGTATTATTATTATTATTATTATTATTATTATTATGAGCACTTATACTCAGTTTTTATGGTCAACAGGAAAAAACGATGTTTATATACCTACAGAAACTCACCGATCTCACAGTACTCTCCTTTAAATCCTGCAGCACACATACAGCGGTATCCTTTGTCTGTAAAACCGGTTTGACAGGTTGCTCTGTTCTTGCAAAGGTTATTCACACATTTGTTCTGGGACGAAAAATTTACGAGATCAGAGCAATTTACTTTAAAGTAGCAGCTGAAACTTTAGCTTCACTTCTAACTGTTTAACTGATCATGAGAATCATGGATCACAAAGTGCACAAGTTGCGTCTTCTTCGATGAACTTCTTTACATTCATCCCGCAGTTCAAACATATGAAATTCATATATTCATTATTTTTAATAATCTTTTCCGGTTAGTTCTATAATAAAATTTAAGGAATCATCCGCTGCCGGGTACATCGTTTATAATTTGGTCTTTAATTTGCCTCAGATAACCGGGGGCGGGGGGAGGAAGGGGGTAGTTGGGGAAATTTTTGCTGGGTATGTGCCACTGGTCTCTCATAGCCCCTACCCCATTATAGTCCATTCTGTGACCAATTATAGACCCCATTCTTAGTCACTTTTGGGCAAATATGTAATTCTGACGATCCGAACTTAGTCACTTTCTATTTTTATGAATTAACCCATTTTTTAAACTGAATGAAGAACACTTTACTTTTCACCTACAGTACAAACATTCTGATACGTCTAATTTGCTAACCGTAAATATGAAGAACTCTCTTACCCAGAAAAATCCGAAAATCACACATGCCCATTAGCCTCTCATAGGAAAGTACCCACCGCCCCCCCCCCCCTACCCCCTGGGCTAAAATATAACGCCGTACTTTAGTTGAAGTCCACTTTGAAGTTCCTCACTTACCTTGGCTCCTTGATAAACGTAATCATCGTTGGTCTCCAGCTTATCGTCTTGTTCTTCGACAGTGGCGTTATTCAGCTCACATTGGCTCGTACTAGACTTCTTAAAGTTAAAACTAGCGCAGTCGGGTTCACCATAGCAATGTATCTCACAGGTTTTCGCGTCAAGGGCGTCAAAGCTGCGAATCACGTGATGTTTTAGACGTTTACCATCAAAGATGTGGTCGGCTCTCCATTCCAGGTAACGACATGTCTCCGCTGGAAAGAGTTTTCGTTAGCAATGGAAATAAAATCGTTGGTGTCCTTGTATGAAGGGGTATTCCAGGAAATCAGTACTAATTAAGAGGGGAGTCTGGTAAAAAGCATTGATTTTCAGTTATTCCGCCCTTTTTCTCAAATATCTAGCCAAGATTTCATTCAATCGAAGAATGAGTCAATCAGTCTGGGATTTTTGATTCATTAATTTTTGGAAATTTTTTTGGACGATTTTTTTAAATGTTTTTAATGTAGAAAAATTAGAGGGGAATATTAAAAATTCTAGAAAATTGGAAAATACCGGATTCGGGGGTTGATAGCAATTAAAATATAGAGAGAATTAGTAGACAAATACGAGAAAGTCCACCACCCCATCAAGGTGCCTGTGATCCCATTAACAGACTAACTGGTTTACATTGTATCAAGATATACCTTTTCTACCCTAATCGATTTCATTCCCAGATCAACATCATTTCCCCTAAAACAAGCAGACTATCCCCTTACGAATTCTATAATTTTTAGCTAATGTTTAATGAAATGCAAAAACGAAATAGCTGAATACTATACAGTAGTTCACGGCAAAAATCACATTGGCTTCCGCTTTCCATATATCGATTTCTGAGATCATATAATCCCCTACCATGCTTGTATTAATTCTAATATAACTACGGGCCGATTTTCACCAATTAACAGCAAATATGTATGAAAAATAAACAAACAGTTACTGAAATGGACAGGCGCTCAGAAAATATCCTCTTGATAAAATTCACACATAAAAAATAAAACGAGGATGGGTAGAATTCAGACCCCCGCGCTTGTACGTCCAAGGAATACCGTTTCTTACGAGAGGCTGCAGGGAACAGTTTTTAAAAACCAACTTTTGCTTTATCAGCTTTTACTGCGAACAATCGAAAAAATGGTTTTACCAACACTCAGCCGGCACTTGAGCTCAAAAGAGACGCAGCGGAAATTGTTGGTTTTATATCATCCGAAAAGTTCCACACACAGATGGGTGTGTTGCATTGTGATATAGGTCTACTACAATACAGGAAAAGCACCAAGAATACTTCTAGCACTGTTCAGGGCTGTTACATTTTTAACGCATTTATAATTGGTACATATTTATTATTATAATTATTATTATTATTGATTCAGACGTCGCATGTCAAAGCAGTTACCTCTTGAATTAATAAATTAGGCACATATGAAATTCGACGTTTCAACTGCGTAATGCGCTATGATACATATTCCTGTAAATTTTGCTTTCAATTTACCACATTATGTTACTAGCTATATGCACCACACAGGTAAAAAAGACTCAGAGTAAAAAAGAAAAAGAAAAAAAATATGGTCACGAAAAATCTGCTTTAAGGAGATGCGAACCCGGACCATCCGAATACGTTAGGACTCATAAAGAATGATCCCATCCACTGGACCACATCAGTAAGCGCTGCCAAATTTAGTATAAAAGAGGTATATATTCCTTGTCTATGGTGATTGACAGTTTTCAAGGATGACTTTTCCGGTTTCCGTGTATAATTAATTCTTTAACTGATCGAAGCCAGACGTAAATCTCAAAATAAACCCATTAATATTCTTTCAGGCTTGGTCCATTCCGGGGAACGTTTAAGAACTTTATCGATCTTGCGGCTACCGAATGAACAGTATGACCATACGATTCTCTCCCTGCTCGTAAGGTGTCTTTTCATCGGTCAAGGAAAACATTAACACAACATTGTTTATCATTATTTCCATTGTTTTAGGTTAGGGTGGCACCACCATTTGGCTTTTAGCGTTAAAAGAACTGCATGCTTCAGGATCTTTCTCCCCAGAATGAAGAAAAATAATATGGCCGCCAAATACATCCTTTTAGCTTTGAAAGTTCTCCTTTATTAACAAACGTTGAACATTTATTCGGCAAACAAACAGTTAAGTTGAAAAAGGATTTTACGAAAGTCTCCTTTTCGATTTTAATTTGCAATATCGGTCGATTAACACAACTTTTAAACTTCTGGCTCAGTTTTCGTTTGCTTCTGATGTGAAAATGGAATAACAATTACTCAGGGGTAATACAGAGTAAAGATTTGTAGAGAAAAACAACAAAAACTTGCAGAATTATGGCGAAAAATTAACATTAAAAAAAACGAACTAAAATCTTCAAAACCTCTGATCGTGAACGTGATTGATGACATCATGTCCCTCTTTTGGTAATGAAAAAAATTGTCAGGTAGAACATTACTTTCCTACAAATTTTCTCTGTTGTGTGATGAAACGTTTACTCTCTACAGCCCTCAGCCTAGTTTCCCAACTTTTTCACCCATGTTCATTTCCCCCTTTAAATTTAAATTCCGGACGTAAACTGGTTATTTTTAAATGCTCCACGCAACCAAAACCTCAAATATGCCATTTTATTTCAACCCAATGAAGAAATCTTGTCACAGAAACAAAGAAAACCCTAATTCAGCAATGGTCACGTGACTGATGACGTCATCACCCTAGATGTGACATGAGAAGATATTTTATGGCAAGTGCTATCTTGTTGTGGCTGACAGTCTTCTACGTATAAAACTGTCAAAGTAATAAAGCTTTCAAAAAAAATGCCTCAAAGGATTCTAGGATAATTTGTATGATAATTTTAATTTACTTTTATGACTATTATTGTTATTATAAAAGTTTTCAGTGGTATTAATTGCTTCCTACACTCTGCTAGAACCGGGGTCATTCCTTAGTCTGCTTAGTCCTGAGGTACCAGGGGAGTTTTTTATTTGATGGACAGACACCTTCTCAGTATGTGCGCCGTTTATAGGAGGGTGATCTTTTGCAGCTCATTAATATTACTGGCTCCAGGGATCTTTCCTAAATTCTGGTCCATTCCCCTTCTAATATTAGTCGCAGTGCACCAGCAATAACCGTCATAGTCTCTGTCCTCATTCCCCACATTCTCGTAGTTAATCTCAAGATCTTTGTCACTTGAGAGCTTTTCAATGACTTTCGTCGAGGTGTTTCGGTCGGATGGTACCGATAATTTTGCAACACTTATAGATGCAATATTATTATTATTAGTGGTAGTAGTGATAGTAGTAGTATTATTAAACGACTTTCTTCGAGGTTAGCCTGCGAATGCAGGAGTATTTTCGTGTGGAGAGAAGCGACGACCGGAAATACGTCTGCGTTCACAGCGGGATATATCAAGGTTTTTCATGTAGTGTCCATTTTCTAGACTAAGTTTTTGTAGTCGTAATGTGATGTATACAGTGAATAATGCATTACAAAAGACCTGCTGCACCTGCTAAATGTTTGCCATAAAATGATGGCCAGTTTATAGATAAACATGGCTCTCAACTCATTGCAATATTATTCAATTTTTTTTAGGATAGCGATAAAATGTTTGGTTGAAAAACAACAACTACAACAACAAGAACAGCGACATTTTTCATTGTTTTTTTTTTAAGTTAATAATTACCCTGCAAAAGTCTTCTTGAAATTTTTTCATTTCAAAAGTCCCTGCAAAAGTCTTCTTGACTGTAACGTTTTCAATATTATATATTTTGACTGATCACGATCTTTTTGGATCCGACGTTGAGCAAGATTGTTCGTACACGGCTTTTGCAGTGGTTTTTTTTACCTTAACTAAACATAATAATTATCTGATGACTTTATACCAACGCCAAAATGATAAGGGGTAACCACTAACAGGAATATACTAACCTTCGCTGTTTGAATCATGCCCATGTGTCCAGGAGATGAATCCCAGTGAAATCCACAAAACTATTAGCTCCATTATAAAAAAAGGAGACATGAAGCAAGTAAAGTGCTTGAAGGAAAAGTTTTCTTTGAGAATGTTCAGCCCTCAAAACCGTTTTTTCCCGAGCGCTGTATTTTGGCGAAACTCAGTGTGTGATTTGTTAATCATGTTAAAACTTTTTTTTGATGCTACAACCAACGGATACTATACTTTACATAGAACTTCCAAATATATCAACACTGCTAGACCACACAGAATCGTGTTTAGGCGTTTTTCATTTCAATTGGTTGGCGAAAAAATTTTGTTTAATAAGTAATAGGGCAAACATAATTGGTTGTTGAGTATTTGCATCGTCATGCTTAGGTTGAGACATGACGATAACTAGCTTAATATTAAGATTCCATGATGACAGCCAGATTCCATGATGACAGCCTGATTATTACTTTTGCTTTTACTCTACAGTTTTTTTTTGTTTACTAGCCTGCGTAGCAAGCGTTTCCAGTCGAGTTAGAGCGCGAAATTTCCTTTTTTTTGCTCTCGTTCCAGTTTTCTCGACGAACTCGCGCGGAACCGCTTGCTACGCAGGCTATTTGTTTACAGAAAGCATTACGTCATTAAACGGTGTGTCAAACAATCTTAAAATGTTTGTATATACCTAATAAATTCCCCATATACCTTGGCGCTTAATGATGCTGATTATAATTAAACATACTTTAGAAGGTTTCAGTATCGATAGAAAAAAAAAACGACTTAGAATAGATAGAATTTTGGCATGAAAAACTCACGTTTTATTGTTTCAGTTTTAAGAAAAATGTTTGGCATGATTTATGTACGCACATGTATAATATCAAATTTCATAAGGGCCGACCATTTAACTCTTGAGGGTGGGGGTGGGCGATTTTGAAAAAAATTTCCTGCAAGCGCTTGTCGGAAGGAAAAAATTGCATGCAGCACAAATGTAATAGAAAGCTTACGGCAAAAAAAGGGAAAAAATATCCTGCCCACCAGATTGCTAGAAAAAAAATATCTTGATGACCAGAAATCACTCAAAATGGTTATTGAGTGAAAAATGCAGTTTCACCGCGGAGTCGAATGCGTTTGTCGTAGCTAACGACGGGGCTTAATATAGAACGATCAGGGAATATTCATGTCATATGTTATTCCCAAGTCATTTTATTTCACTCCCGCGCTATGAGTACTTTTACAGTTACTCTACTTGGCTTATATAAGTACAGTGCCGGAGAGCTTTCGCGTCATCTTCCTGATGTTGTTTGATAATCAAAATTATCGTATTGCAGGTTCACCACGGCATCGAATACGTTTCGAGTACCGAGTGGTTTTATAGAACGATTTTAAGAAATATTCATGCCATGTTCAGGATATTTTAGATGGGTTTGAATGATTAGCACTGCCTACTATCCTTTACTGTCTTCCATTTAGTCTCTATTAACCCTATGCCAACACAACATAAACACAAACTTTATTTATACTCGAATTTTAGGTTAGCTAACAAGCTAATATCATCGAGCTGGCACTCCCCCTCCCCCAATCCTTATTCTTCACAAAATTATAACGATTAACGTGGACTGATCAGTTATGGTTTATTCATAAAAATTACCGAAGAACATAAGGCCGAAAGAACATTTTTGAAGAATAAGAGTTTTGTTTTTGCTACTTTTAGGCTCCCACAAGTGAATTAAATACTTTTGACGGTGACTTTAATTGTACAACGCGTAAGTCTACTCTGTCTCATACCAAGGTAATTTGCTACAGGTGATGCGTTTCGCTAAATTAAATAAGCCCCCCCCCTCAAAAGTGCTTGAAAAAAATAAGCCCCCCGTAACAGCGAAAACGTGTCAATTTGCAAGAAAAACTGTCCATTGTGATAGAACATGCGCAACATAGTACTCGTAACCTTGTCTTTTTTTTAAGTCAAAAACAACGGCCTATCCCCCGGGGGGGAGTGGTACTCAACATATGTTTACCCGGGGAGGCTCCAGTCCCGAAGTCCAACCCCTTACCCTCTTATATACCATTTTCCACGAAAACGGTATCCCTTTCGTATATATGCTATTGACAAATGGTACCCCTTTCACGCACCTTGTTGAGAAATTTGCATCCCTTTTAACTGCTGTAAATGCACTGTCTTTTATATAGGAAGCAGTCATAAAAATAGAGCACTTTTCTCGACTTTATAAAGACACAAAATTTATCTGTTAGCCCTTTGGGGCCCTTTCGCAGACCCAAATGACAGATTTCGCTTCCCTTTTATTAATACTTTAATCAGTGAAATCCCTATCCTTTCCGTGATATACCCGAAGCCTTAAAAAGATACCCTTTCGGGAGGAGCCTCCCCGTATAGGTCATCATAGGGAGTGCCCATCCCCCCTCCCGAGGGCGGCCTACACACCTGGGGCGGGCAGTAATATTAAAAAACTGTATTTACTGAATTAAACGCCGCCCTTGATTTAACGCCGCAGATGGAAGCTAACAAGAGAGAATGATTGTTGCTGTCCTTAAATGAAACCAAGATGATTTAATGTAATTCTTGGAAGTAATTTTGAAAGAACCGCTCCTCTTACATCAACGCCCCATTGGGTTGGAACGCCAGAAATGTAAAAAAAAACCTCCTTCAGGTTGCTAGTGTTCGAAGTTCAGAGTGGATCGATAAAGGACTGAGTTAAGCTTTTGTCACTGCGCAATAGAGAACTAGCAAATTCGGTCAAACAGGTCTTTTAATCAACATTATTTACTGCTCTTGATTTATTGAGAGTTCTATTTCATTGAACCAAAATGTATCCCATAGCCTTGATATGCTGGTCACCATTATCCAAACTGCTGAACATAGCGTCGTTTCCACATGTGTTAGAGTCGTCGTGTTCTCCTCCAGTGCCAAAGCCGATCCTGGAGTTACAGGACCAGCAATCGTTTTCATCATTACCTACTATACCGATTCTTGCTTTAGATCGTCCTGTCCTGGTACACGCTGCATTAAAACCTTCCATGTTACAGTTGACCTGTAAGGAAGCATCGGGACCAACTACGGACTTCCACTTATCACGACCCAGTGAGGTGCTGCGGTATTGCCCATCAGCCATTAGTGAATACAGGGAACTGGCGCTCTTAGTGATTTCGATAAAACTGATCTGGTTGTTGATCTTCATTCCGAGGCAGATCTTGGAGAAGGATGTGTTCCAGTAGGAGGGAAGTTTGGTCTCCAGTGAGTCAAATGCAGTCTTGCCTCCATCAACATTGAAGGTGTTTTTATCTTGCCAGTATGCAGAGGTGTAGTGGAAAGTTTGCTTTGGGAAGAACATTTTGTTACAAATTATAACAAACCATCACCTTTACATACATAAATAGGAGAATGGTCATAGAGACCGGCTACTGATCAAAGGTTCACATATCAGGTGGGATATTTCCTATAGTGATAAGTTGCTTTAATATGATAGGAATGCTATTATGAACGGCCATTTATTAGTTAAGAAACACTCATTATAGCACTCTGACACGAAATTCTTTTCATTTTTTCATTTCATTTGTCATTTTTATTGGTTAATCCAGATATGAATGCTAGTCTAGGTGGGTATAGCGTCTATTTAAAACAAACTACGCACTCCAAATGGTATTAATAAAGTGACAAGCCAACAGAAGTATTTTTAAACTTACCGGTATATTAATTGTAAAAAAAAATAAAGGTAAAGAAAAGAATGCTGAGATTAACTGTAACATATAAATCAGAAGCTTACAAGTACACTACTAAGATGATTACAAAGATAAGTGGGTTTCTGCTATTAGCTTGTTTTTATAGATGACTAAGGTACTGACGGTTATTTTACATAAAAATGGAAATTCAGAGACATTTAAAATCAAAAAACTGAAAACTGAAGGCAACCACAGATAATGCAAGTCAGCTACCTGATTGCCATCAATCTTCATGATCAGCGTCCATCCACCATCACCGCATTCTCCATTTGAAGTCGAAGCCATGGTCATGTGACAGTAAACGTCAATAACCTCATCTTCCACAACAAGTGGGTACGCTTTGCTTTCATTGGATCTTAAAAAGATTAAAGTGCAAATGAGACCTTTTTATACCCGTGAATATATATTAGTATGAAAACAATGTCATAAGAACAAAAATATCTTGACTCAAACAATCATGTGCGAAAAGTCAAAACAAAACGAATATTGATCAGTTGCCTAAAGAAAACTGTTACAGTAATGTAATTGGAAGCCTAATAAGAATAGCCTCAGTGCTAGATTTTTCTGGTTCATGCAAAGATGGCAGAAGATGTTGGAACAGAGGAAACTGGCGCCATAAGATAGCATTTTGTCTTTTGTGGTATCAGGATTTGGGAATTCACACAGCAAATTTATTGATGCAGCGCATAGTCCTTAATTTCCTTTTTCATGAGGTGCCCGTATTGACCACTACAGAAAATACCATAACATACCATAATACTCTTTGTTGGTCACTCTAAAATTTTGCATAAGCATATATTGTTTTCAGTTTCTCTTGGGGCCATTTTAACTCCCAAGAGAAACTGAAGACAATGCTTATGCAAAATTTTCGAGTGACTAACAAAGAGTATTATGGTGTGTTTGGGTTTTTTCAGTAGAGGTCAATTAAAGATATAGAAACTGATTACATCTCTAACTCGGAGCATAAAGAGAACTTTCCGTAATTTACACAAAGGGTTTATTTGTATCAAAGAGTACCAATGAAATTTTGTTACTTACATATTCTTATCAAAGATGTCCTTGCAGGATGAAACTGCATCACACAAAAGACAGACAAAGAGATAAACTGTAAGAAGTACGCCAATGATTTCTCGAAGGCCGTCGATTACCCACGAGCTAATATAAAAGAGTCGAAGCTGAGATCCAACGTGAGTGATGAACGACTAATGGTTTTGAATTTCATGGACCGTTTAGGACATTTTGGGTTTACGGTAGGGGGAATTTCTTAAATTTTTAATGGCCGTTGTGATTATAATATATTATTTTTGAGCAACTCTTATGATCTCAGCTCTAGGAGGTGAATATAAAACAAAACAAAATTGCTGCGCTGGCGTCAGAACGCGGTGTTTTGCCAAAGTCTTAGAGTAAGAAATTTCTTTAAAACACGTGGAAGTTCTTAAGCGTTGTTGTTTTTAAGATAAGAGAAAAAAAAACAACAACAACACGAGTCTGAAAACAGAGTAAAAACTGATTGAATTAACCGCTCAAAGCAATGTTTACAACTATAGAGGATAGAGGCCTTTCTGTGAACTAATTGGGGATTTCCTCAGGCCACCAAATAACTTATTAAAAATAGGTTGCAATAACCAAAGGATACGGAGTGAGGGCGACAACGATCAAAGGTCAAAACCCTTTAGCTCCATCGGTGACTGCTAGTGTGTTTTGGCTAAGTTTCACGTGAGAGATACGTCAAAACATTCGTGATCAGATTGCGAGTGATAGAAGGTCCAAACGTGCGTGATGAAATTGGGTTCTGTGCATTCCATTCATTCCAAACTTCGCATGCTACATACATGCGAGGCATGCGTAATAACAACCTGGAGATTAGGATTGCGGGCTCCTCATGTCGCCCGCAGTAACCCAGACTTACCCGGTTCACAGTTCTCTACATCTCCGTAATATCCCGGATTACAAGTGCAGTTGTAAGATCCTTCTTTATTGGTGCAGAACGTATTCGTACTGCAGTTGTGTGTACCTGCAGCGCACTCATCAATGTCTAAAAAAAAAACAGGCCATCAAATTGCAGCTTGTTTCGTACACATAAGCACAAAAAAAAATTGTGAACGTCTTATTTTCACTCAACTTCAGGTTTTCTTTTCGCGTGGTCCCTTACTATATAAGACCCTGGCACAGGCTACAAAAAGTATAAAATACTTTAGCCTTTCATCAATCACAGATCTAATCAATCAAATTGACAATTCTAAGACTTTATAATCTACTTGGGAAAAGCGCTTAATTCTAACGTTTCGAACAACTTGGAATACTGACTAGCACCTTTTCACGTGACGAAAGACAACCATTAACAGTGCATTCATCGGTATGTTGTTTTAAGCATGTTTATGTTTTCTTCATTTGTCGTACGACGTGTATGTAAACCAGCCATAACTCAGTGATCGAGGAATAAACGCCTGCTGCTTATCAATTGAAATCAATCTTGTCAACACACACTTTGAATTTTTTAGCGACTAAGCAGAGGGGCGACTTAGATTTTATTTTAAAAATGGGCTATGTACGCATTTGAAATAATCTCACTTGATGAACTTACACGCAACAGGACGGGAGAGGAAAGATGACGGCAAGCCTTGTGTGACAAGTGTGACAATAATTTTGTTTGAAATATTTCGCCAATCTTTACTTTCTTTTAAACAGATATTTTGTAAAGACCAGAAAGCTTTAATGTTGCGTAAAAAAGATCACGACAGAACACGCAAGTAATAACCCTATCACGTTCGCATGAGGACCCGCATACGACTTTTTTTTGTACACCACAGGACGCTGGGGTTGTTAAGGAAGCTAGGGTTTGAGTGACAAGCAATAAACTTCCTACCGCGAAAAGCAATTAGTTTCTTTACCATTTGGTCCAATCATCAGTGGTATTATTCGATAAAGCGTCACTTTTTTTAACAAGATTAAGGCGACATCTGGCGATAGAGTAATTCAGAAGAGATTACAATTTAACATAAGCCAGAGATTTGCGTTCTTAGCTCACGAGTTATCCAGAATAATCGCGCGTGGCCTACGACTCAAGCGTTGTCTTTCTGGTCTTTTCCAGTATTCAGTAAAATGTAGCGTAGTTCCATATTGTATTGAATGTACGTATTGAAGGTCGCAGAACTCAAATAGAATCGGGCGAATGTTGCTAGATAAAAGCGTTGATTCAAAATCTTTATTATGTAAAACCCGCACTCCTTGAACACACAGTTTACTACTCATCGTAAAGGAAAGATGGATGCCAAAGCAGATTGCAATCATTGATCTCCGAGGCTTTGTGTGTGAAGATATAACGAATTTCTTTGGCGTGAGCTTGCTAAACTGCAGTTTCCGCCGTGAATCGCGTGTCACGAACGCGCTGGTGCGTTGTGTTCGTATTTTTATGGCATCTCTCTGATGGAATCTTGTACATTCAACTCACTATAGTTAAAAATTTAACCCAAACAATGGAAATAATAATTGACTTTTTCTTTATATGGAAGTAGTGTGACATTATGATTTGACCTCTGATCGAATACATGTAAAGCCGGCATTGTACTTCTGCGATGAACGTAAAGGACGTTGTGTGCGTCTTTCGATTTATGACATTACGAGAAGAAGACGGTCTTCCTATGCCTTCAAAATGTTCCTGAGCCTAACGATATTACGACAAACGTGTAAGTGGTAATATTCATCGGCAGTCTGGTAGGCATTTTGATGTTGAAAACGTTAGATCTTCTAATCCGACTGCATTTGTTTGGTGACTATTATGCACGATCTGCTGCTAATGATGTAAATCGTGTGCAAACGGGCTACATAAAAAATTTCGGTTATTTAATGACGACGGGTTGCGGAATACTATTGTTAGTAGATGAAGATGTCATAGTAGAGGCAGAAAACACAGAGACTAAGCGATCCAATGGATTCGGTCGAATAGTGAAATCGTCATCCCGCCAAAACGTGTCCAAAGCCCGCCAAAAATTACCAAATCTCGCCTCTTCCGCTATTTAACTCTTTATTCATTCAAGAAAAAGCTATGTATTGCAGGATTTTAGAAAATTAGGTATGGGAGTGGAAATCATTGTTAACATGTTTCAAGGGTGACTATTTTTTAAAAAAAAGACTAGGCGTGCGGCGAGTTTTATTGTAATGCCATGGTGTTCTTAACTCCTAAGTGCGATTTTTAAAGCAACAGAAACACTAGGTGGCACGCCCGTGATTCTGTGAGTTTAGACGCCACGGCATTATGAAATCACTTGTGCACGAAGTGGAAATTTAAAGTTTAATATGTTTAAGCTTGAGTAAGCGAGTTTTATTGTAATGCCATGGTGTTCTTAACTCCTAAGTGCGATTTTTAAAGCAACAGAAACACTAGGTGGCACGCCCGTGATTCTGTGAGTTTAGACGCCACGGCATTATGAAATCACTTGTGCACGAAGTGGAAATTTAAAGTTTAATATGTTTAAGCTTGAGTAAGCGAGTTTTATTGTAATGCCATGGTGTTCTAAACTCCTAAGTGCGAGTTTTATCATGCAACAGAAACACTAGGTGGCACGCCCGTGATTCTGTGAGTTAGACACCACGGTATTATGAAATCACTTGCGTACCAAGTGGAAATTTAAAGGTTAATAAGATTTAGCTTGAGTAAGCGAGTTTTATTGTAATGCCATGGTGTTCTAAACTCCTAAGTGCGATTTTTAAAGCAACAGAAACACTAGGTGGCTCGCCCGTGATTCTGTGAGCTTAGACACCTCGGCATTATGAAATCACTCGCGCTCCAAGTGGAAATTTAAAGGTTACTACGATTTAGCTTGAGTAAGCGAGTTTTATTGTAATGCCATGGTGTTCTAAACTCCTAAGTGCGATTTTTAAAGCAACAGAAACACTAGGTGGCTCGCCCGTGATTCTGTGAGTCTAGACACCTCGGCATTATGAAATCACTTGCGTACCAAGTGGAAATTTAAAGGTTAATATGTTTTAGCTTGAGTAAGCGAGTTTTATTGTAATGCCATGGTGTTCTAAACTCCTAAGTGCGATTTTTTAAGCAACAGAAACACTAGGTGGCGCGCCCGTGATTCTGTGAGTTAGACACCAAGGTATTATGAAATCACTTGCGCAATAACTGGAAAATTAAGGGGTTTACAAGCTACAAAAGCTATATGTGTGTCTTAGAGTGTTTTTTAATAGGAGATTTTCTTGTAGGAGACCCTCCGCCAGTTATATTTTTCGGCATTTATCCGTAAAAGATTTGTTTTCTCGTTACAAATAAAACACGCGTGGCAAAATTCCCATTTCCGGCACTTTTAGTACGTCCTAGAAACTGGAAAGCACAGTACGTAATCGTTTATTCGGAAGAAGGCTTTTCTTCTTCTTTTTGATATTTATTTAGAACAACACTGTTGCGATCCGTTCGCGGAGAATCTCTGCTAATGCGGTTACATTTCGAAAACAATATTTTTGTGGTCTCGCGTTCTCCTCGCGCGCGTCCTTTTGCTTTTAATCACCTGGAAACTTTGGTTTTACTTGGTAGTTACAAAGAAACGTTTCGGCGCGGCCCGCACGATGTAAATAAATTTAAGTAAAGTGGCCGGGTGCTCTAAAGTTGCTCTCTTTGAAAATTTTTAAAATAGAATCGAAGATGTATTCACGGAGGTTCCGGTTATCGTTTGGGGACAAAAGCATATTTTGATTGTGTTAATTGCTCCTGTCGGAATGAAATGTCATATGAATTAGCAAGATGACGTGCGAGTAATAAGTTCCAGGGGTTTCTCATGGTTTCCGACCTTCGGTCCTGCACTATGTTGTCAACACTTCCTTTGTTTTATATTGCGCAATCGGTCAATTCAGATGACCGTCGTACACGTATCCAAGGCTTGCGGGTCATCATGCGTACACAAGTGTTTTAATCGAACCTATGCATGCAGCGTTATTAGTCGAAGGAAGGCACTTACCGATGTCACAGTACTCTCCTTTAAACCCAGCGGTACACAAACAGTGGTATCCTTTGTCTGTAAAACCGGTTTGACAGGTGGCTTTGTTCTTGCAATGGGTTTTCAAGCATGCGTTCTAGGACAGGAAGAATCACCTGATTAGGAATATCAAGTTACGCATTTTGGTAAGGGTACTATGTTGTTTTACTCCTGGTTGATGCCTAGCAAGTACCTTGTCATTACGTGTTCCTGCATGCTATTAAAATTTGGCCTTCCTTCATACTAATTAAGTGCCTATAGTCAGTGTTTAGCTAGCTAGGTAAAAGTGCGTTACTCCATACTAATGAGGGTCTTCCTGCATATCTAATGAGCTTCTCTGTTATACAATAGAAACAATAGGTTTGCCTAGGCTTGCCGGTCTCTTTTAACCCTGATTGGTTCATATTAAATCTCTTATGTATAGGTAATCACATGAATTCGAGTGCAATTTGGAATAAATAAGCACTTGTAAATTTTTCAAAGACCAACAAAAGTGCACGTGCCCGTAGGGCGTGTGCACTTTGTTGTCTTTGAAAAATTTACAAGTGCTTATTTATTCCAACTTGCACGAGAAAAATCATGTAACATAGGTGACGAATTACTCCTTAATTTTGGCGCGAAATTTCAGCGTTAATTTTTAATTTCAAATGTGAAATTACAAAATTGCCATGACAACCCTTCCGTACGTCTCAGTGTCAAGATGGCGACGAAGTTTTAAAATACCGTGAATGAAGATGCCAGGGCACAAAAAGACGCTTTAGAAAACCTGAACACACAAGAGAACATCAAGAAGGATTCTGACAGGTTTTTTTCCGAAAAAGTCTGAAAAATTCTGAACTTTATAAGCCAAATTTAAGGTCTAAACATTTGAGAGAGTGGAGTTCTCGATCGATACGATCCAGGATAAACATGTCAAAAATGCAAGATTGCTAACGTAATTCGTCACCCATGATATTAATAGGTAATCAAATGGTATACTCGTGAAATTAGGGAATAATTTCACTTGCATTTTGTCCAAATCCTAATTTCACTCGTCATCATTTGATTACACTTACTAACTTATTAATAATATACACGAAAAACATAACTACAACAACAAATTTTGACAGCGCGCACGTTTTTAGTTCATTCACCAGATTGGCTGAAACAGACTACTACCTTTGTCAAATTCAAACTTTTTCAAGACCAACGCTTTCAAAATCATTCATCTAAGAAATTGGAAATGTGCAAGGATTTTTTTATATGGTCACCAGCCTGTTAAAGATAACTTGGTTTACAATAATCAGCAAAAGTAAGTGTTTTTAAATTCATCCTCGATTATGAGAGCTCGGCGTTTACAAGAAGCGTTTCCAAGAAGTCAACTGCCGTTTTGAAATCAGGAGAACGCTTCGAGCAGCCAAAGATGAAAGACACTTGCTAAGGTTTTTTAACGTCTGTTCATCATTGTCTGTTCCAGAGAACCCATCATAGCTGGATTCATGGAGAAATGTTTGAGATTTAAAACGGGACAATGAAGGAGGCAATTTGTCTTCTTTCGACGCTGCTATCGATGGGTGAGTGGAGCCACTGTTGTTGTGATGTCGGAAACTGCCAGTATTAATATAATATTTGCTTTTTCTCAGCGCTGGAATTTTCATTATTTCATTTGGCCTACTGCAAGAGTCATCGTAGCTCTTCTTCGTCGGCTTTATCGTAGTCGTTAGAGAAGTTAATACCTCTGTGGCCTGTGAAATTGACGATATGCTCTGAACTTACAATCTTTGCTTTCTTCAGCTTCCTGACTATTGTTTTTCTTGCACAATGATTCGTAAAATTTTTTCGCACTTTTTTTAAGGCTAGTACCAGCTACGGATACTTTCATTATGTGAGTTATGGTATTTTCGCCCATTGGTTTAGTTTGGACCAGATGTTAAAATTTTCGTTTTCGTTTGCTACTGAGGTAGAAAAAAAAACAGACCATCGCATGGATGTTTTAATAGAGGTCTTCGCTCCACAAAAGACTCAGAGAGATTGAAATCCCTGTTGTTATCATGGAATTGTATCCTTGTTCATTTAAGTGCCTGAAGAGTGTAGCTGTCATGGTTTGCGTGAGGTTGCAACCGTTTTTGTTCTTTATTTTTTTACTTTAGCGTAGTCTGTTATAATTAAGTAGCTTGTTTTTTAGTTTCTCTGGCTCATTTTTGCTCGATTTTGTTGACAGCATTTTTCTCTTAGCAACGCATTTTCAATACATTTAGCCAGAAAGACGTACTTTTTACTGTGTTCGGGTTTTTGGAATATTTTTTTAACTTTTCTATTGTTGTTTTGCTTACATAAGTAAATTCCGTCGTTGTCTGCTGAAAACCATGGCCATTTTCTTGAATTTTGTTGTTAAAACAGCTCTAATGTGATTGATTCTTGTTGGTTTCTTTTGTGTTTTCAGCCAATCAGAAAGCATTTGTAATTTGCACTCGTGTTACAAGTTTGCACTCGTGTTACAGAAAAACTGCACTCCTTTCTCAGCCAATCAGAATTGAGTAATTTTTTCGTGTATATTATTAGTGTTCAAATTAAAAGCTCACAAATTTTGAATGCGCTTTCTTTCATGCAAGTTGAGTTTGCTAGGAAAAAAGTCTTACCATCACCAATATTTTTTAAAAAAATTGCTCCAAACATGCAAGTCGAATCGAGCACTACACCTCTTTCTACGATTGACGAAGTAGAAAAAGTCCAGCGTCAAAGGATAGCCAGTTTTATCGGACATGCGTTCCAACTGACTTATGAGGGCTTTGATTGACAAACTCATTCAACAAGAAAAGCTAAACCGCTTCAACGGGTGCTCTAAAAGACAGCTAAATACGCCATTTTTAGCGCTGTTTTTCCTGCACGTGCGTGGGAACTCTACGAGGTATCCCTTGCAACAACTCTTTACTTTGGCCATGAGTAACAACCTGACTGCATGATTGGGAAAGACAATTTTGATCGAGGTGAGATGTTTGACCTTTGAACCTAACTTAAATTAAAGGTTACTTGTTTGAAATATAAAATTTCTAACTTACTTTGGCTCCTTGATAAAAATAATCCGAGTTTGTCTCCAGCTTATCCTCTTGTCCTTCAAAAGTTGAGTTGTTTAGTTCACATTGGCTCGTTGACTTCTTAAAGTTCAAACTGACGCAGTTTGGTTCTTCGAAGCAAAATAACCCACAGCTATCTGCATCAATAACGCCAACGCTGCCAATCACGTGATTTTGTAAACGTTTGCCTTCAAACATATGTTCGTTGCTCATCTCCAGTGTACGACATGAGTCTGAAGTAGTTAACGGAAAAAGCTGATCTCAATCCCGGTATGGCCAACGAGTTGGAACTCACAGCTATACATATTCAAGAGCCATAATGGTCCTATTATGGCTCTTGATACATTTTAACAGTTTTACAGGGGCGGATCCAGAATTTTTTTTAGGAGGGGGTGCACTCGTCTCTTGCTCTACTTCAACACCATCAAACCACATTTTTTTTTTTTTGCAGAATACCAGTTGTATTAGAAAACCGCAGGTCATCTCAAGGGGAGGGGGGGGGGCGCACCCCCTGCACCCTCCACCTAGATCCGCCCCTATTTTAATTCCTTACAGTTAATAAACTGAACGCATATAGCTGGGCAAGGCCTAGTTTTTATTTTCCTTCTTGAGATTAATAAGAATATATCGTTTACAACTACATCTGCAAATGTTAAAATAAAATTGGAACAACACTACTTTAAGGCAAAAAAGGTAAAGGTCCTAATATTTAATACGTTATCGGTTATTCGTAAGAGTCATCATTTGACGGCGCGCTCAGTTTTAATCCCATCTCTATCAGTTCTCCGTTTTACGGGATTTAAAGCAACTTTGAAAGCTACCCGGAAATGAAACGACTGGGAGACGAAACAAAAATCTACACATGCAACGCGTAACTTACAGGCGTAAGTTAACTTCTAAGACTTGTTGCTCTTGTTGTCTTTTTCTTTCTATTCTCGCATTATCTGGTCTGATAACGACACACAAGAGTAAAAAGTCTGGCAGACGTTACAATGTAAAGTATCTTATAATCTATCACGCAAGCGTTATACAATTGTTTTAGCAAACGATGGCCATGGATCAGCGAACAAATTTGCCACGGTTTAATTAAGAAGACAAAGTCCCTGGGATGCTTTCTTTATTTTCCTAGGATTTTAGAGGTTTCAGCTGTAGCAGTAATAAATACTAGAGGTAATCATCGATTACGGATCAGCGTTCGTCACTTACGGAAACATTACGGAAACGAAATCAAGTCGAAAGAAGTCCAGTTTCCCGGCCAAGGTGCCCCTGATAAAATTAAGGGCGGCTAATTTGCAGTCGCCCGTGCTAGCTCGAAAATTTCTGCCTTAGTGCCACAGGAACACCAGATTTGGATGCGTTCTGACGAATGTGATAATTGTCAGTTTACCAGTAAATTAAATACTTTGTTAACTGTATTTTACAAAGAACTCATCAGATCATGCCAGAAATTGAAAAAGCTTCTTGATTTTATTTATTTCTAGCTTGTTACCCTTACCAAATCCAACACTGTTTTGAATGTATTTTTAAGCTATTTTTGAAAACTGTTTTTAACCTGTTTTGTGAAATAGGTTTTAAATAGGGTAAAAAGTGTATTTTTAATGTATTTTTCGACTGCTTTTAAAGGTGTTTTAACCTGTTTAAAACGCTATTAAAAAAGAATTTTTAAAGTATTTTAAAATGCTTTTAAAATATATAAAAAATTCCATGGCTTTTGCAAGGCTCAAAACAGGTCAAAAACAGTTTTTAAATACCTTATAAATCGGAATAAAAACAGAATAAAAACAGCTTCAAAAACATATTTTAATTTACTATACTATTTTAAAACTATTTTTAATGGCAATTTTAAACGTATTTTGAAAAAAACAGGTTTAAAATAGGTACAAAAATATATTTTTGATATATTTTTCGACTGATTTTAAAGGTGTTTTAACCTGTTTAAAACGCTATTAAAATGTTATGCTTCAAAATATATTTTAATAGCTGTTTAATCGGTTTCGAAATTTAGTAAAATACTCGTATTTGCAAATACAATAAAAATACTTTGAAAACAGTATTAAAATACCACAGAAGAAGAAAAGCAATAGCACACATATATTATGAATTAAATACATCAAAAATAGGATGCAAAAATGCAAAAACAGTATAAAATTGTAAGAACATAGCTTTAGAGTTGTCTGAAAACAGTATAAAAATCGGTCGAAAGAGCATTAAAATAGTACAAAAACAGGATGGAAATACCATTTAAATTCATGAAATAAAATGAATACAAAACCGCCGAAAATTACCCTGAAAAAGCAAGATTTACCTCGGCGAAATTTCTCCACACAGTCCTAGGCTAAGACTTCAAGAGAATTATCTCTTAGCCGATTACTTTACGTTGATTTCCCTAAGAATTCTCGGGAAATTCTTATGGAATTTTTCAGAAATGCTCAAATCAATCTTTAGCCTATGTACAGACCCCTTCCCTCAATAAAACTCGGAGGGGAGGGGGGGGGGGGTATGTACACAGGCTATCAACCTTTGGCTTCAAAAGGGTATAACGCTACTGACGTTACCGGTAAATATTAATCTACATGCATGTAACTTACATTGTTTATTATATTCACGGCTTTACTCAAATATCATCAGAAGCTTAATGCAGGCTACGCCTGAACATTAATTAGTGGCTGATAAAGAACAGCATACGAATAAATTTACGCGAGAATGAAAGAGGCCGGTGACGTGACATCAAGTGACTGAGATCATTTATACAAAACAGCGAGTCTCTGCAAGGAATCCTGTAAAAAGTAAAATTGCCGTACGGGCGCGACTATATAAATGTTTACTACCCTTCATTTGTTTCTCATATGGCGTATATCTAAGCGTCTTAGTAACATTGTATATTTAATACTTACAATTAGACTCTTGGACTCTTCTCCTGAACCAGAACCTTTCAAAGTACATAACAGTCGCTGAGGAGTCATAACTATTTTTGATTCGTGATAAAAGCAACATCTACGTGTTCCGACAATCCGCAGAGTTGGAGTGTACTTTTGTAAGATCGTAACAAACAGTAAAATCAAGCGCATTTAAGCTCACAGCAACCGCCCGGGAGCAACCGCCGGTTCAATAATTTGAAATGAGCAAAGGACAAAGGACGGTTTGCTTATCACGTGCATTTGTCACATCACCGCGGCGCGAAGTCGTGATTTCAGTCGCGCGTGACATCTCAAAAATAATATGCCATGCATGTGCGGAATAGTCTATGAGAGAAAGATAACCATATGTCGGAGTTTATTCAGATCTGAGCGTTGTTTCTTAGTGCAATATATACGAGGTGAGATCTTAGCTTGGATAGTTTGTTTTAATTATTATGAATTAAATTTCAAGGACTTATTTTAGACAAATCTCAATTGACCGCGTGCATCCGGTTCTCGGCCCGCGGCTTCGGCTGTTTGCGAAAAATTTCTACATGAAAATTAAAATGTGATTTTAAGAATTTTCTTTTAAAAAAACTTATGGAATGTCCCGTAGCTACATTAATTGAATCACGGCTAAAATCTAGGCGGAGATTTTCGCAGAGAGCTTGCAGGTAATGAACATTGAGGAACGGATTGATCCTTTATCGGCACACTGTCACAGTTACGTGTTGTCAGTCAAAGCTAAAATCTATTCCTAATTTTCTTCTCTTTTTTCAATTTCTTTTTGATTTGCTGGGAGATGTAATTTTTGGCTCCGCCTCGAGCTTTATTGAGAGAAGAATCCGGTCCACAATATGACAGCTTGTTTTGAGTCATTTATGAGTTCGTGGCACGATGAAGGCTTAAGAATTAACTTTGTGCAATTGTTACTTTTATAGTCTGAGTATAAGTATCCCAAAATACATTACAATATTGCACCTCAATAATAATAAGTAATAAGTACCCTATTTTAAAGTATTTAAAATAAGGTCAGCATTTGATGTCTTTCAGCAGACTTTAAATATTTTATGTACAATCTGTTTTTATAGTCAGAGTGTTGTGTGCCCAAAATACAATTCAAATAGACCTCAAAACAGTGTTTAAGAACCCTATTTAAAAGTATTTGAAATGCGGTCAGTAGTTATGACTTAAAACATATTTCAAATAGTCTATTTGAACTCTGTTTGTAACTTTGTGAGTGGATGCGTCTCAAAATACATTTTCGATACAACTCAAAACAGTGTTAAAGTACCCTATTTAAAAGTATTTAAGATACGGTCAGCATTTAGGCTCTCAAAACATATTTTAAATAGTCTATTTGAATTATGTTTGTAACTTTGTGAGTGGATGCGCCTCAAAATACATTGTAGATGCAACTCAAAACAGTGTTAAAGCACCCTATTTAAAAGTATTTAAAAAACAGTCGCATTTAAGCCCTTAAAACATATTTCAAATAGTCTATTTGAACTCTGTTTGTAACAGTGTTAGTGGTTCTATGCCCAAAATACATTTGAAATACCCTATTTTAATCATATTTATTAAACAAAATACATTGTAAATTGATGAGAGAGGTTTTCCTTTTGATGAAATATAATTTAACTACACTTAAGATATATTCCAAACAGGGGCGAAAATTTAAATTTTTTTGTCAAATAGGATTAAAATACAGGAAAATAGTATTCAAATACTGAAAATACATTTTAAACACTTTAAAATCAGTTTCAAAATACATATGGTTTGGTAAGGGTAGGTACACAAGCAAGACCTGGAGGTATGTATAATTACCGTCAGGCACTTGGCCAGGTACCTCTATATGTAAAAAGAAGCCATTTTTATTAGTCCTTAGAAAAGATTAACCATGTGAAACTGGTAATTTATCCGCAAAACGTGATAAACGTGATGAAGTTTGTCTTCGTCTCAACCTTCCTGACGTCCACCTTTGTACCTATTTGCGCTCCCTTGCCAACTTGCAATTCCTATATGTATTCCTGTATTGTATCATATTTTGGCTAAATAAAAATGAACCGAATTGAACTGAGGCAAGCCACTACTTAAATATGTTATCTTAAAAAAGGTCAATACTTTGGTTGTTGTTGTTGTTGTTGTTATTGTTGCACCCTGCGGCAGCAACAACACCCTTCTTTCGTCTTCTTGAGAGTGAACGAGAAATTTTTAAAGGAGGCTAGCTCTGCCTTAATCGCGTTAAACATTTGAAGCCACCGAAGCCCGAATTTCTGGAATAGGCAATTTTTTTTTTTTTTTTTTTTTTTTTTTTTTTTTTTAATGCTTTAACACTTTATTGCAAAC